GATCAGAAGTCTGAAATAGTTATGGTGTTTTATTTCGAGTGTAAATCTTTAAGCCATATCCCTCAATCAGCTGATTATCGAAAAAAGAAGAATGACGTTGTCTCCATGCGGGTTTATGTGTCTCAGTTTGTTCGAATGGATACACCAGAAGAAGACGATAACAGCTGTAGGTTTACTGCAAGTCGCTTGCATCTGTTAGAACGAATGTTTGGATATTGCGAAATAAACTGGAAACTAGTTTCAGACGCTGGCATACAATTCAACATACCAGGAGGAAGAACAGCAACTGCAGAGTACATAGTTGAGTTGATGGGTGCGGAGTACGGTATAAGCAGCGCAATAGCCAAAGAAGCATTCTCCCTTTGGATGATTTCGGGACTTTTGGGTTAGTCAAAATCAAGTAATTTCTAATCTTTTACTCCATAGGTAAGAAGATTATGATAAAATATTAGTAACACAAACTGAGACACTTCAACTTTACCTTTTTAGTGAGTAGATAGAGGGTTTGCGCACGCTACACTGGTAAACCTTTTTGAAGAATAGGCATTTGTTCTGGGGGCTTAAGGCGTTATGTATGCATTGGCTGAAAACCAGTAACGACTGATAAATATTGATGCTACTCTATGCTTTCACAGTTCGTTTGTCATCACAGGCCGTCGTTTGTAGTCACTCTCAATTTTGGGCACAACCGAAATAGTTGCAAAAAAGCAAGCTGGATTTAGACATGAGAGTTTATAATCTCGGCGTTTTTTGAGATAAGATGCTGTCTTGTTTCCGAATGATTATAGCTCATACACGTTGTTCTTGCAATTCACATCCAGGTTATTGAAGAAGCTCATGATTCATACTGACACATTATCATATATTACTATCAGTTGTAACACTTCTTGGAAGTGCATACTTTACTACTTTATTTAATGTAATTGTAATCGAATGATTGCAGACGCAATTTTCCAAAATCTTATTCGCACTGTAGCGAACTTTTGTAAAAATTTATAGCAGCAGACCTGAGGCTTAAGAATTCTTTTCCGGTTACTTCAAAGTAAATATCATGACGACATAATGTGTTTGCTGTCGTCAACTGAGTCATTTGAACAAATACAGCTTCACCTCGTCTAAGCGAGGTGAAGTGTTAGAGTGAAAGTTTGTTCTAAGCG